TTTAGGCGAACCCCTTGGGAAAATTTCGAAAAATTAAAAAACGTCATTTAGGCAATGTTTTGAATGAGGAAAGTCGCTTTTGGGTTTGCTGATTACTAAATGGTACTTGATTTCCTGATCGGATACCAATTGGCAGAGCTGTGGCCATCGGAAGGACCAAAAGTGGGGAAATCAGGAAAACCCACAATTTTTTAGGCGAACCCCTTGGAAAAATTTCGAAAAATTAAAAAACTATTTCTAGGCAATGTTTTGAATGAGGAAAGTTGCTTTTGGGTTCGCTGATTACTACATGGTACTTGATTTGCTGATCGGATACAAATTGGCAGAGCTGTGGCCATCGGAAGGACCAAAAGTGGGGAAATTGGGAAAACCCACAATTTTGTAGGCGAACCCCTTGGAAAAATTTCAAAAAATTAAAAAACGTCATTTAGGCAATGTTTTGAATTAGGAAAGTCGCTTTTGGGTTCGCTGATTACTACATGGTACTTGATTTCCTGATCGGATACAAATTGGCAGAGCTATGGCCATCGGAAGGACCAAAAGTGGGGAAATTGGGAAAACCCACAATTTTGTAGGCGAACCCCTTGGGAAAATTTCGAAAAATTAAAAAACGTCATTTAGGCAATGTTTTGAATGAGGAAAGTCGCTTTTGGGTTTGCTGATTACTAAATGGTACTTGATTTCCTGATCGGATACCAATTGGCAGAGCTGTGGCCATCGGAAGGACCAAAAGTGGGGAAATCAGGAAAACCCACAATTTTTTAGGCGAACCCCTTGGAAAAATTTCGAAAAATTAAAAAACTATTTCTAGGCAATGTTTTGAATGAGGAAAGTTGCTTTTGGGTTCGCTGATTACTAAATGGTACTTGATTTCCTGATCGGATACAAATTGGCAGAGCTGTGGCCATCGGAAGGACCAAAAGTGGGGAAATTGGGAAAACCCACAATTTTGTAGGCGAACCCCTTGGAAAAATATCGAAAAATTAAAAAACGTCATTTAGGCAATGTTTTGAATGAGGAAAGTCGCTTTTGGGTTCGCTGATTACTAAATGGTACTTGATTTCCTGATCGGATACAAATTGGCAGAGCTGTGGCCATCGGAAGGACCAAAAGTGGGGAAATTGGGAAAACCCACAATTTTGTAGGCGAACCCCTTGGAAAAATTTCGAAAAATTAAAAAACGTCATTTAGGCAATGTTTTGAATTAGGAAAGTCGCTTTTGGGTTCGCTGATTACTACATGGTACTTGATTTCCTGATCGGATACAAATTGGCAGAGCTATGGCCATCGGAAGGACCAAAAGTGGGGAAATTGGGAAAACCCACAATTTTGTAGGCGAACCCCTTGGGAAAATTTCGAAAAATTAAAAAACGTCATTTAGGCAATGTTTTGAATGAGGAAAGTCGCTTTTGGGTTTGCTGATTACTAAATGGTACTTGATTTCCTGATCGGATACCAATTGGCAGAGCTGTGGCCATCGGAAGGACCAAAAGTGGGGAAATCAGGAAAACCCACAATTTTTTAGGCGAACCCCTTGGAAAAATTTCGAAAAATTAAAAAACTATTTCTAGGCAATGTTTTGAATGAGGAAAGTTGCTTTTGGGTTCGCTGATTACTAAATGGTACTTGATTTCCTGATCGGATACAAATTGGCAGAGCTGTGGCCATCGGAAGGACCAAAAGTGGGGAAATTGGGAAAACCCACAATTTTGTAGGCGAACCCCTTGGAAAAATATCGAAAAATTAAAAAACGTCATTTAGGCAATGTTTTGAATGAGGAAAGTCGCTTTTGGGTTCGCTGATTACTAAATGGTACTTGATTTCCTGATCGGATACAAATTGGCAGAGCTATGGCCATCGGAAGGACCAAAAGTGGGGAAATCAGGAAAACCCACAATTTTGTAGGCGGACCCCTTGGAAAATTTCGAAAAATTAAAAAACGCCATTTAGGCAATGTTTTGAATGAGGAAAGTCGCTTTTGGGTTCGCTGATTACTACATGGTACTTGATTTCCTGATCGGATACAAATTGGCAGAGCTATGGCCATCGGAAGGACCAAAAGTGGGGAAATTGGGAAAACCCACAATTTTGTAGGCGAACCCCTTGGGAAAATTTCGAAAAATTAAAAAACGTCATTTAGGCAATGTTTTGAATGAGGAAAGTCGCTTTTGGGTTCGCTGATTACTACATGGTACTTGATTTCCTGATCGGATACAAATTGGCAGAGCTATGGCCATCGGAAGGACCAAAAGTGGGGAAATTGGGAAAACCCACAATTTTGTAGGCGAACCCCTTGGGAAAATTTCGAAAAATTAAAAAACGTCATTTAGGCAATGTTTTGAATGAGGAAAGTCGCTTTTGGGTTTGCTGATTACTAAATGGTACTTGATTTCCTGATCGGATACAAATTGGCAGAGCTGTGGCCATCGGAAGGACCAAAAGTGGGGAAATCAGGAAAACCCACAATTTTGTAGGCGGACCCCTTGGAAAAATTTCGAAAAATTAAAAAACGTCATTTAGGCAATGTTTTGAATGAGGAAAGTCGCTTTTGGGTTCGCTGATTACTACATGGTACTTGATTTCCTGATCGGATACAAATTGGCAGAGCTATGGCCATCGGAAGGACCAAAAGTGGGGAAATTGGGAAAACCCACAATTTTGTAGGCGAACCCCTTGGGAAAATTTCGAAAAATTAAAAAACGTCATTTAGGCAATGTTTTGAATGAGGAAAGTCGCTTTTGGGTTTGCTGATTACTAAATGGTACTTGATTTCCTGATCGGATACAAATTGGCAGAGCTGTGGCCATCGGAAGGACCAAAAGTGGGGAAATTGGGAAAACCCACAATTTTGTAGGCGAACCCCTTGGGAAAATTTCGAAAAATTAAAAAACGTCATTTAGGCAATGTTTTGAATGAGGAAAGTCGCTTTTGGGTTTGCTGATTACTAAATGGTACTTGATTTCCTGATCGGATACAAATTGGCAGAGCTGTGGCCATCGGAAGGACCAAAAGTGGGGAAATCAGGAAAACCCACAATTTTTTAGGCGAACCCCTTGGAAAAATTTCGAAAAATTAAAAAACTATTTCTAGGCAATGTTTTGAATGAGGAAAGTTGCTTTTGGGTTCGCTGATTACTAAATGGTACTTGATTTCCTGATCGGATACAAATTGGCAGAGCTGTGGCCATCGGAAGGACCAAAAGTGGGGAAATCAGGAAAACCCACAATTTTTAAGGCGAACCCCTTGGAAAAATTTCGAAAAATTAAAAAACTATTTCTAGGCAATGTTTTGAATGAGGAAAGTTGCTTTTGGGTTCGCTGATTACTAAATGGTACTTGATTTCCTGATCGGATACAAATTGGCAGAGCTGTGGCCATCGGAAGGACCAAAAGTGGGGAAATCAGGAAAACCCACAATTTTTAGGCGAACCCCTTGGAAAAATTTCGAAAAATTAAAAAACTATTTCTAGGCAATGTTTTGAATGAGGAAAGTTGCTTTTGGGTTCGCTGATTACTAAATGGTACTTGATTTCCTGATCGGATACAAATTGGCAGAGCTGTGGCCATCGGAAGGACCAAAAGTGGGGAAATCAGGAAAACCCACAATTTTTAAGGCGAACCCCTTGGAAAAATTTCGAAAAATTAAAAAACTATTTCTAGGCAATGTTTTGAATGAGGAAAGTTGCTTTTGGGTTCGCTGATTACTAAATGGTACTTGATTTCCTGATCGGATACAAATTGGCAGAGCTGTGGCCATCGGAAGGACCAAAAGTGGGGAAATCAGGAAAACCCACAATTTTGTAGGCGGACCCCTTGGAAAATTTCGAAAAATTAAAAAACGCCATTTAGGCAATGTTTTGAATGAGGAAAGTCGCTTTTGGGTTCGCTGATTACTACATGGTACTTGATTTCCTGATCGGATACAAATTGGCAGAGCTATGGCCATCGGAAGGACCAAAAGTGGGGAAATTGGGAAAACCCACAATTTTGTAGGCGAACCCCTTGGGAAAATTTCGAAAAATTAAAAAACGTCATTTAGGCAATGTTTTGAATGAGGAAAGTCGCTTTTGGGTTCGCTGATTACTACATGGTACTTGATTTCCTGATCGGATACAAATTGGCAGAGCTATGGCCATCGGAAGGACCAAAAGTGGGGAAATTGGGAAAACCCACAATTTTGTAGGCGAACCCCTTGGGAAAATTTCGAAAAATTAAAAAACGTCATTTAGGCAATGTTATGAATGAGGAAAGTCGCTTTTGGGTTTGCTGATTACTAAATGGTACTTGATTTCCCTGATCGGATACAAATTGGCAGAGCTGTGGCCATCGGAAGGACCAAAAGTGGGGAAATTGGGAAAACCCACAATTTTGTAGGCGAACCCCTTGGGAAAATTTCGAAAAATTAAAAAACGTCATTTAGGCAATGTTTTGAATGAGGAAAGTCGCTTTTGGGTTTGCTGATTACTAAATGGTACTTGATTTCCTGATCGGATACAAATTGGCAGAGCTGTGGCCATCGGAAGGACCAAAAGTGGGGAAATCAGGAAAACCCACAATTTTGTAGGCGGACCCCTTGGAAAAATTTCGAAAAATTAAAAAACGCCATTTAGGCAATGTTTTGAATGAGGAAAGTCGCTTTTGGGTTCGCTGATTACTAAATGGTACTTGATTTTCTGATCGGATACAAATTGGCAGAGCTATGGCCATCCGAAGGACCAAAAGTGGGAAAATCAGGAAAACCCACAATTTTGTAGGCGGACCCCTTGGAAAAATGTCGAAAAATTAAAGAACGATATTTAAGCATTGTTTTGAATGAGGAAAGTTGCTTTAAAATCGGAAAGTTATAAGATTTCATGATCTGCCAAGTATCATCCGAGTCATAGGTAATTTCCTTATTAAAATAGGGCATATTCTTACGAGCTCTTAGAGTTTTGGATAAAAAAGCTGTGACACTTCAAGGTTTTTGTACTTTCCATTTTTTTTTAATTTATTTAGCTTGCATTCACAATAGAGAAAAATAAAGTAAAATATTTCGACCATTAAACAAACTTTTTGCGTAACTATTAAAAATAAGAGACTAAACAAGTGTGCGGCAATAGGAGGCGGTTCTAAGGGTTTCAGGTTCATGGGATCAAGGATCGTGGATCCAGGGTTAGTGCAGGGAAGTCTTTGTTTTTGTGTTGTTGCTTCAGTAAAAATATATAACTATATATATACAAGTATGATTCGTTTTGGACTTGTGCCTCCATTACATTGCGTGAAAAGTAAAGGAAAAGGACTCAAGGAGGAGGTGATGGAGAGGACGGGACTGGATGGGATTAGGGTATCAGAGTTCGTTTATATGCTACGCTAAGCCTAAGTCTTGGTTGCTCTTAAAACCTAGAGGTTAACATGATCCGTTTGCCAGTTCGCTGGAGATTGGTGATTGGAGTTTGAAGTTGATTGAGTTTGATTTTGCATTGAGTGGTTGAGTGGGTTGAGTAGTTTCTGTTTCTGGGGTTCTGTGGCCTGGACATCCTCCTCTATAGCCTAGTTTTTGGTTTCGTTATACGCGCCTCCCTTGTTCTCCTTGTTGTCCTCGTTTCCTTCTCCTTGATTGCGCTGCTCCTCCTCTACTTCCGGATTCTGCTGTAGTTCCCCTTGATGCAGTTGCTGCTCCAGTTTCTGCTCCTGTTCTTGTTCTTGTTCCTGCTCCTGTCCATCCCCTTTCCGGTCCAGATTCGTTGGCGCCTTTACGCGTTCAGTCTCATCCTTGATCCTTGCGATATCCACATTCCGCTCCTGCTCCAGCTTATGGAATTCCCTGGAACGCATGCTGCCTCTCCCCACAGACGTGGCCGCGGAGTGTATAGACTTTTCCGTTTTTCGTTCCAGCTGCAGGTCCAGCTCCACATCAGAGTCCATCTCGTTCTCGGAGAACGACAACGAGTTGCCGGCACGTGGCACTTGGATTCGCCGTCGATCCTGGTGAGGCGATATGAAATATAGGGAACAGGAAAGGAAATCAAAAAGAGTACAGATTATCCTTTATTGGCGGAGACAAAAAGAAAATAATAAAAATATGGTCAACACTCCGCTTATCGCCGTTGCTTGAACTCGCGAGGCATCATCACCCATTAATAGCTGAGATCGTGAATCTGGACCACCAGCAACATAACTTGCACTTGCACCATCGTCACCGGCACCTACCGTATTAAGCGTTGTCGGTTCCGAGATGTAACCATCACAGTCTTCGTCCTCGCTGAATAAGTCCGCCGTGTTGCCCACATTCGTCTCCGGCAATCGGCACACAATCTGGGCCAGATCGATGAAGGTGTACTCGTTGAGGGACGCATGGTTGCCACGTTTCGGTGGCTCCTTATTGAACCACTGGTTAAAGCGACCCAGTCGCCCGGCCTTGGCCATGTTCTCGAAGTAGTTCTTGCCAAAAACGTAGCCCACATCCCGGATCTCGTCGAAGCTCCCAAATGCCAGAGTCTTGTACTTGTCGATTGGTGGCCGGATGTATTCACAGTAGTCCGAGTTCTTGACCTCCTGTAAGCAAATATATATATGAGTATTTTGGAATGAAACTAGCCAAGATGGTGTCCTATACTGACCTCCAATTGACGGACGCACGACACGTAGGCAAGACGGGACTGAATATCCGGCAGATCGGGCACCTTCACTGGCGAGGTGAACGGATTCCACTTCTTGTAAAGCAGCCACCAGCCACTTAGATCGTCCCCGTAGTTAGTCAGATCGGTGTCGTCCTGGGATCCCACATCGATGGCGATAATATGAGCGGCGCCCAGGTTGTGCATCACATCGGCTATTGTGGGAGTGTGTGGGGCATGCAACAGCGAGTGGGGAGTGGATGGAATTTGGTTTGGTTTTGGGAGTTCGTTGACAATGTGGTTGTGGAGAAGTGTTTGGTTAGTTTTTCGTTACAACCATGCAAGAGTTTACGATTTAACAAGTTACTTTGATAACTAATTTCGCGATATGTACGATTTTTAAAAGTTAGAAGCTTCCCCCAGGATCTAAGGATCTACACTTTTTTCTCCAATCACAATAGCCAATTAAATGGGAATTCAGGAGTCCTTAGATACTGAGGGTAAAGCCGAGCTAATGATTTCAATTCAATTCCCAAATGGGGAACGGACGCAGGGCGGCACAGAGCGTTAGAATTTGAACGGAACGGATCGGAATCTGTATGGATGCTGGATTGGTTGGATTCTGGGATGGATCCTTGGATCCTTACCTGGCACATTGTTCGTGTAGCAGCCGTCGAGGAGCAGGTGGCCATCACGATAGTCGCAGAAGGGCGGGAAGACGCCGGCAATGGACATACTGGCCCGGCAGTATCGCCACAGCTGACCTTCAGGTCAAAGGTCGCCCAAAGAGACAAAAACAACAAGAGTGTATCACGGGCACAGAGGTGTGGAGTGTGTGTGTGTGTGTGGGCGTGTGAGGTGTGTGTGGGTTGCATGGTGAATTGTGGAGTGTTGTTTTATTCATTTTTGACAATATTATTTATTTATTTGGTGTGTAAGAGGTAAATAGAAAAAGAGAGAGAGAGAACGAGATAGACAGAATTGTAACTAACCAAATGGGAATTTTTTTCATGATATTTTAAGACTTATTAAAGGTGACTAACTACAAATCATACAAAATACAACAACAGAGGGAAGAAAGGGACAGGAACAAACTAAGGAGCAACTCAAGGAACAAGAAATACCATTTTAAAAAGTACGCATACCACAAAAAATCAATTTTCAAAAAACTAGAATAATTTACATAATTTTTTTTGTGGGGAATAGAAATAAAAAGAAACATTGTGCACTTGTGTCTGTGTGTGTGGGTGTGTTTTTGTGATGTGTGTTTGGGGGAGGAATGGACTATATATACATATTTACACCAGAAATTATCGGGACTTTACCAGAATTAGGTTAGAAACGAAATGGAATGGAACGCGAAACGAAACGCAGCCGGACATGACCGAACATGATCGAACAAGAGGATTTTCCAACACTCTGCGCGCTCTCTGTGCCATTAACAATAAAAAAAAAACATTTCTAAGTTGAATTTGATATTAAACTTGACGCTCGGAATTAAATTTATGTTTATTTATAGTTTTAGTTTTAATGTTATCTATTTTTTTGTTAAATCGTATTCTATGTGCTAGTTGCTAGTTGGTAGTTTTGGTAATTACCTGGCAAATTATTCACATAGCCGCCATCCAGGAGGAGGTGTCCATCTTTTGGATCGCACAGAGGCGGCATATAGCCGCTGAGCGACATGGAGGAGCGTACGTAACGCCACAGAGATCCTAGTATTTGTTGGTGGTGGTGGTGATATTATTTTTTTTTTGGTTTGCAATCAACGACAGAAGACATGCCAGCAATGATAAAGGTGTTAAGGTGTTGGTTTTAGTGTTTTTTAGTCGTAATTTTGTTTTTATTTTGTTTTTTTTTTTATCGGGAGGAAGAGAGAAAAAGAGAAAGAAAATAGCTTTGAGCGATCTTTTCTTAGTTTTTAAGGATTTCATTTTCGGTTTTTTTCCCAATGGAGCTGGTAGCTGGGAGCTGGGGATGTGGGGTTTTCAATGAGGGAACAATTAGAAATGTGCGATGGAAACGGGGGGGGTTAGCCTCTAGCAAAAAGCACAAGAATTGGTTTTCGGATCGTGTTTGACAAAAAAGCTCCAAAACATCAACATCAACAACAACAACAGCAACAACAATGAGAATTCTAAATTCAATTCAAATTCAAAAGTAACGGCACAATTTCGATCGATAGCACAGCAATCGATAAACTAAGTATCGATTTTCGCATTAAAATGTGTGTGAAAATACCTCTAAAAGGATTTTAGGTTGGCGGACCATGGAATGAGGCTGTGGTTGTGTCGGGGGTGTACGTGTGTGTGCGTGTCACATTGTCTAAGGACTCTTTTTAGCTCTAAGGACATTAGGAACCAAAGAACTATTACAAAATAAGCATAAAACGAGGTAATATGGTTATGGAACTAAAAGTGCATCAAAGCCAAATGAAAATGCGGGATTCCCCGAGCCATTACCGTTACAATTCAAAAGCCAAAGTTATCAGAAAACCAGAAAACAAAACCAAATAATAATACAGCAGATACCAGTCGAGAGAGTGAGATGGATAATGAGTACAGAACGCAAGTACAGTCATGTCCAAAAGCAAGAGGATAATGAAACAGAAACATGTTATAACTTGTACATTTTTCAATAAAAAAACATTTAGATTTATTTTTTTAAAATAATTCCAAAGACTGATATCCACCGCATTAGCAAAATAAACCATAGACCAAAATAGAGACTAACAAAGGCATAGAGGAATAGACAAAGAGAGGTAGATAGAGCGAGAAAGAGACACCAAGAGGAAAAGAGAGAAAGAAAGAGAGAGAGAGGAAGGCAATTGCAAAGCGGGCATCACTCACCATTGGTGTGAATGCGATGGCAACTAGCCGTTATATCGGTGGTGAGGGTGAAGTAGGGTATCCACAGGTCCTCGATGCTCACGTCCCCGAAGGTGTCGTGGATGGTCTTGTTGAACTCCCGTCCGGAAAACATCGAGGTGATCGGGTAGGTGAGGTCCAGCAGTTGTAGGAACCATTTTGTCATTTTCTAAAAAAAAATAAAAAATATATTTAAAAAAAATAAAGCTTAAAAAAATATGTAGAATCTTACCTTTGACCACTCGCGCGCTTTCTGGGTCACTGTGGTGATGTTGCGCTCGGAACACCAGAGCGCTCCCATCAAGGCACCGATGCTGACGCCGCCCACCATGTCGATGGGTATGCCCGCCTCCTGGATGGCCTTCAGCATGCCGATGTGAGCAGCGCCACGAGCTCCGCCGCCGCCCAAAACCAGGCCAATGGAGTTGCCCGTCAGCCAGCGGGCGAGGCGCGAAAAGTCGGAATGCATGTTCGGCTCCGAGAGCAGGACGCGACTATAGAGATCATTCTGCAAGTAGATTCGACGGATCATCAAAGGCTAGGTTGTGGAACAGAGTCTTAAACGACCAACAATCTCATTTCCCAATTTAGTATCTGTATCTTATCTCCAACATTCTGTCAGTCACGTCCGATCTAACTAACAAAGATACCCTGAGGGGCTTTGGATCGTTCTTGATTAGCCACGAATGTTGGGGACAGGACTGTGCTAGCTAGCCACCCCAAGGTGGGGTGTATCTAGCGATCTGGCCAATCTTAAGCTTACATGCTATTGTTAGTTCCTGGCGAATAAACCACACCTACATATGAATAGGAATTGGTGTATCTTATTAGTAGGTGTCACTCACAATGCGGTATTGGCTCTTGCGGGTGAAGATGCGCTTCACGCAGAGCACATGGTGGTGCTTCGTTACCCAGGGCCTGGCATTCAGCCAGCTGAGCGTGTTGGCCGGCCTGGAGTTCGTCGTCTCTGGGTAGAGTAGCACCAGCTCCTTCTGCGTTCGCATCGCCAGGCGATCGATCTCGCGCTCAAACTTGCCCACCGTATGGGAGCCGTTGCCCAGCCCCACGATCAGGATGACGTCCGCCTGACGCATGCAGCGCTGCGTCCAGGCACTCAGTGCATTGTCGCACTGGTACAGGGTGATGATGTTCCGGTCCTCCTGCTGCGCCAGCCACGAGGTCAGTCGGTATTCGTTGGCGGCCTCAAAGATGTTGGGGCCCAGCTGCTTGCGCACCACATCGGAGGTTAAGCGGAGGACGGGACCTGTTGGACCAATCTTTAGTAGATTGTTTACATTTTGAAATATTTGGAGAGCTTACCTATGGCACAAAGTGAGTGGTAGAGCTCGTAGGTGAAGGGCGTGAGCGGCACCTCGTCCGTAATGGGCACGAGAGCCACCGTGGAGTACTTGTGCGTGACGGGATTGGCCTCGACGGGTCCACCTGGCGCCGCGCTGCTGGAGCGCGTCTGCATCGTGCCGAGGAAGCGGTGGCTGAGGAAGCTAATAAGCTTCGTTACCACAATGGGGTAGCGCAGCTTGATGGCATTGAACAGGCCCTCGGGCAGCTTGGCCAGCTCCGAGTCGCGCACGGCCAGCACGGTGGTGGTGCGCGACGTCTCGGTGATCATCTCGACGATGCCAACCAGGTCACCCTTGCCGTACTCGCCGATGATCTCCTTCTTGCCACCGGGATGCGTGATCACAGATCTCATTCGTCCGCTCAAAACTATGTAGGTGCTATCGCTGATCTCGTCCTGCCGGTACACGGCTCGTCCGGACTCCAGGAAGATCCAATCCAGGGCGTAGTCACACTGCCGCACCAGAGGCGATAGCCGACGAACCACTCCATTGCCCAGATCCAGAACGATGCGGGGCCTCTGCCGCATGATCCTGAAAAGGAAGAGCCCCAAGTTAGTTCAGGACTTCATCCGCAGTGGTTACCACTTACTGATAGATGGCTGCACGCCGGATGAAGGCCACCCGACTATTGTTCCTGGAGCGGATGGTGTAGGCACTGGCCTCGCCCGTCAGCATGGCCAGTCCGCCGACAATCTCGCCCGGATGGACAAAGTGGATGAGCATGTCGTTCTTCTCCGGCTGCTGCTTGGCCCGTGTCGCGTCCTGGTTGGCCTGGTAGACGGCCAGAGTGCCGGTCATCACGAACCACACGCACACATCGTCAGAGTTGCCCTCCGTGATGAGGGTGACATTCGGCTCCAGTTCCCGCACCTCCACAAACGACTCAATAATGTGGGCGTCCTCCTCCGGCAGGCCCAGCTCCTTGCGCAGGCTCTCCACAGCGGAGGCGTGCACCAGTCGCATGTCTATCGTGGACACGGGTGCTCCACCTATCAACGGAGGTGCTCCCGTTACACCGGGTCCCACGCCCTGACCTGCTAGTGTCGGCCCCAGATCGGGCGCCATTTGGGAGATGGAACCACGTCGCGTCGACAGATTGCCCACGGAGTGCTGGTGCTGGTGGAACACGTCTACATTGGGCGCATCACCGTGCGCCTCGGCGAACATGTTGGTGCCGGAGGCGCTGCCAACGCCGGCGTTTATCACGTCCGGATTGGGATTGGGATCGGACAGGGTGTGCTCCTCGCGTGAGTGGCGCGACGGCGAGACGGGAGGTCTGCCCGGACCAATGACACCGTTGGCACCTGCCAAGCCAGGGTGAACTGCAGTGGCAGTCGTGGGCGATGGCGATGGAGTCGTGGTGGTGGTCGAGGACGTGGGAGCGGGCATGCCGAGCGTCGGCTGGGAGCCGTTCTGGCGCGTGGATGTGCAGGACGGCATCATTATGGTGCTGCTCTTGAAACGCATGTGATTCTGCACCAGCTCGGCGTTCAGGCCGAGGTAGTTCCGCAGAGCTGTGAAGAGCACGCGCTGCAGGCGGATCATGATCACCTGAATGACGCGTATCATCACGTCCGGATTGTCCTGGAAAACCTCCTCAAAGGCCTGCAGAAAGAGCATGTGAGAAATGGACTGTTAGAACGGAAAACTCAACCCACCTCCATGGGCAGCCGGATCACCACGGACTTCTCTATCGCCTTCGCCGTCACCGTTTTGTAGTAGCTGGGATTCCCCGACAGGACGTCGATGAAGCTCAGCAGCGACGTGACCGACTCTCCCTTGCGCACCGTCTTCAGGGACAACGTGCTTCCGTCCGCATTCGAGATATACACATTGATCATGCCCGACTGGACGATGTAGACGCTGTCGTCCGGGTCGGTGATCTTGAACAGATAGTCGCCTGCCATCAGCTCCAGGAGCTGCGTGTGCTTGCAGAGCCGCAGGAAGACGGGCTTCTCGAAGTGGCCGAAGATGCGGATGCTCTGCAGCATGTACAGGGCATCCGGCGGCACACGGTCACTGCCGTCGATTGTCTCCTCCAGATACTCGGCCGGCGGCTCCACGGTGCGCATCTCCAGCGGCATGTTGTCGCGCCTCAGCTGAAGGATGCGCCTGGCGAAGCGCATCACTGCCCTCCGCTTGTAGCCTTTGCCGCTGCTGTACATCTGGCCGCTGACGTTCTTCATTTTGCGCAGCATCCGACGGCCGTAGAACAGCATCTTGTCCCGCTTCCGGAACCTCAGGCCGCGCAGGTCTCCGCCGGACGAGGAGTTGATGGCGCTCATGGAGCGAGAGGCGGCATCTCGTAGCCGAATCCGGGCCAGGCGCTTGAAGTACATGAACCACGCCAGAAACACCACCGACAAAACGCCCAAAGCGCAATACAGGTACATCTGAAAGATACACATTATAGGTTTAGTATCTTGTGGATGTCTTCCATTAAATCTATTGAATTTTAAAACTATATAGGAAGTACTTTGTGTGGGGGGGGGGCTGTTGTTTAATTGACATTTAGTAGGCGTTTGCTGGGCTATTTCGAGCGCGTTATGGCTAAATTATAGGCATGCCACTTAGTATCTGAATTATTCAGCACGAACGGACACTTGTAATTTCCCAAAAGCTGATTTCCAAGCCAGTGTCACGCCCGTATAATCCAGCTCATCAGCTGTCTGGTTGCACTTTTGTTGTTGTTGTTGCCCTCAGGCAGTGGCCAACAGGCAGAGGCGGTGCCTCGAGGCAGGAAAAGGAGAAGGGTATAGAGAAGGAGTCTCGGAATAGTTATTCTATTAGTCATAATATTGGGAAAATGAGCTATAATTTAGTCATTAGCCAGTGAGGAATTTGTTTTTAAAAAAAGGGTAATTTAATCCCCAGAGAACCCCCCCCTGCCACCTGGTGACTGCCTCTGCCACTGCTTCTGATCGCCGTTCTGTTATTGCATTTTGACATTGAAACGTCGACGCGACGTCGCTGCCGCAGCACTGCCTAGAGACTAGAGCTTTTGTTATTGTTGTTGTTGTTGGTATTGCTGTTTATCAAGATGCATTCGTTGTGTGTTGTTCTTGTTGTTGTTGATTTTCAGCAGTTTCCGCATTTGGCGCTCGCTCTTTGATATTCCCCCACCCCTTAGCCCCCACCACACTCCCCCCCTCTTGTGTTACTCTTATTCTAGTTATTGTTGCTATTATTAACTTGTTGTTTGTTTGTTTATTGTTTACAGTTTATTTTTGCAACAGGTTTCCCTCAGCTCATAGCTGCATTCGTCCAAGAAACGTAACGAATTCCGATTGCCATCCAACCTGGCTAATTGGAAACCAAAGCATGCATTCCTCTAGTGATCCAATTGGATTGAATTGGATTGGCAGTGATCCATGTGAGCCATGGAAATGCTGGAAAACGCAAGAAAACCCAACGATAGATAGAGTAGCTGGGAATTCTACACAGTCACACGGAGGGAACGGATGGAAGACTAAATTGATTCGGCCCCAAGGGGTTAATTGAATTATTGAAAACTGATTTGAAAGAAGACCGCCACCCTTTACACCCCCCACCCACCTTGAAGCTAGAACCTCCCACATATGCACGTGCTTCTGATTAGCAATCAGTTATGCGACGTCTAATCAGCCCCTTCTTGGGGGTCATGCTGTTTGGGTTTTAGTGCCTCAGTGCCACTATCAATATTGGGCCCTGGTGCTTATCATGTGGCTACTGAAGTGGTGGTGCGGAGCTTGTGTTTTTTTTTTTGAATTTCTCGGATTTGTTCTTGTTTTTTATGTAAGGCCAGGCTATATAGAACGATTTTGTTCTGAAGGCCTAAATATCAAAACACGGATGTGACGTAAAGATTAAGGGGTAGCATGGAAGGGGTGGAGGGGAGGAGGAGGGGTCACCAGCATCAGCTGCCAATTATTGTCGAGAGTAGTTTGGAGCTATGCTCTCTGGCCCTCTCTTTAGCGGGGTTCCGAACCCAAGACAGCTGACAGAGTCCTGACCAAGTGAAGGTCATTCTTCTAAGGGGTCGAGAGCTGATAATGCTGATGAAGATTAGTAGTTATCTAGCTTCTTCTAAGCATATGTCTGTCCTTAAACCCCTTTCTATATCTCTTTCCCGCATTTATCGCTGAACTGACTCACGATCGCTTTAAACAATAAACAAAGAAAGGGGTGAAGTTTGGAATGGCACTTACCGAGTTAGTGATCTGATTGGAAACGTACTGGCACCACGCATCTGAAAAGAGAGCCGTGTAGCTGCCGGTGGCGCTGGCGCGCAGCAGTTCCAGGACATCCATGACTGTCTTTCTTTCACGTTTCTCTTAGACTCTTCGACTATCAGGTTCCCTCTATCTGGATAGTTGTGGGCGACGACGTTGTAGTTCTGTTTGTTGTTGTTTTTGGGGCTTATTTGGTAAACACGGAAGTGTGAAGACAGCGGACGAAGAGTGGGGCGGGGGCCTGGGCGGGTGGCCAAATCTCGGTTGCTCCGTAGCTCTATCTCACTTTAGCGCGCGCGCGCTCTCCCCCCCGCCCCTATGTTGACGCAAGTTATTTGCAATTATAGTTGTAATAATGCACGCGCCGCCAGCTTTCTCACGCACACCCTCACACACACCTGCACATACGCACAGCACTATCGAGCAGAGTTTTTTTTTTATTTTGGATTTCCGTCTATTTTCCTTAGTAGAAGTTCTCTTTTTTTTTTGTTACGAGAAAAATCGGGCAATTTTGTTTTTTTTCCTCTCACTCTTTGAGTCTTTCGTTTGGCTTTTGTTTGCCTCGCTTAATTATCCTTGTGCTCGCTTACTGCTCTTCTGGAGCCTGCTGCGACAGTCTCTGGGTTGCGGGTATTGCGGGGGTGTAGCCTCCTTAATTTAGTGTTTCGGTCTAGACCAGAATTTTGCTATGTTCTACAAACTAATAAATCAAGTCAAATGCACTCTAGAAATTTTGTTATTGGTTCTAAGTTCTAAGTTAGGGATGGCGAAACATAACGATAATCACTATCGACAACACTATCGATCATTTCGCGGCCAGAGTTGCCAATATGTAAACCGTATGTTTTCAAAAACCCAATAAAGTGTTCTTATTTCTATCATAAAATATATATACTATCAGATTAAAAGCTTTTATATTTTATTATTTATGTACCATTTTTATTTTTTGTTTTGTTAGCAGTTCTGTAAAGTTTGAAAACGTTATATTTCGATAGTTCCGTTGAGGTGACACATTTTGGCGCCTGCTGTTAAGGTTTTTGAATTGAAAATATATAGCTTGGATCGAAGAGTGGCATGCAGCTGAACATTAATTTGCGGCGCATAATTAACTCCGCTTAAGATTTCTTGTAGCCAAGGAGCCGTGAAGAGCGGCCGGCGGTAATATTCAGTGATTAACAACTGTAAAATCTGTATAAATATTCATGTGTGTTGATTTAAAGGATTTTGGTGAAATCCAAAGCGGCTGCGACTCCGGATCCGAATCGGAGGTCCGAAACTAACGTGCAACATCCAATAAAAAAGCAAGTGCATCCAAAATAACTGGAGCGTGCCGGGCTCGGGGCTCAGTCTCAGCCTCAATCCGAATCTCGAATCTCCAATCTCGGCAAGCCAAGCAAAACGACAAAGTCGCGTCGTTTGGGTGGCCAGCTTCAGGTGTATTTTAGCTGCAATTATATATGCAATGCACTTAAGTTATGCACATTTCCTTTGCCCAGGCACCGTTACCGTTACGATTTCAAATCCCGCGCGAAAGTTAACAGCTGCTCAACAGCCGGAGAGGATGATTAGCAGCGTCTTAACAGAGAGAGAGAAATATAGAGTTGGGCATCTTAGCTTTTTCCAAATCCTAGCTCCATTTTTTAAAATTTAAATTTAGAAATATTAATTAATGAAATATATCGATTAGAACTAAATAACTAAAAAATAAATGATAACTGATAACTTCCTTCTGAAAGGGAATTCCGACATTATTTATTTATAATTATTTAATTAATATTTATTTAATAGTATATTAATACACCAACTATAATATTTTTAGCGGAAAACGGCTAGGTTAACAGCGAGAGACCCGAGAGAGAGAACAACTTAGCAGCGGAGAGAGCTCGGGGTATATAAAGCCCAACGCGGAATATTTGAATCCAAGAGGTTACCGTTAGTTAAGAGTTCAAGAGTCATCCAGAGTTGGAGAGTAGAGTTAGAGTAGAGATTCACACAGTCCCCTCTCCGAGAGCGAACCGTAGCGCATGTACGAACCGGGTACGAATCGGGTTGCCAGAATCTGGTTGCGCCAACCTCGAACCTAGTTAAACCTAGTTGGATCAAACATTATCAAACAGGCGACAGGTGAACTCAGTCAATTCCAGGCACTTGTAAGTCGTCAAAAGCTATCAAAAGAAAGAAACCGTACTTTCGATATATCACGATATAAATATATCACTTGCACACTCTACTGATATATTGATATTCTGATATAAAATCAGCAACCCTAAGAACTTTTCAAGAAAACAATCAGAATCAGGTGAACACTAAAACCAAGTCGTGAAAATCTGCCATCTGCCGTGAAAAAAAAGCCGGATAAACACCCATAGAAACAGCACTCGCACAAAGCAGCCGCAGGGTTCAAAAAACTAAACGGAAGAATAATTAATCGCTGGTCGTGATTTGTTTACGTTTTTTTCTTGATTTTTTTTTGTATTGTGTCAGTGACAAAAAGCCGAAAAACCTATAACCAAAAACCAAAAACCGAAGGGTGTGACAGACGTAAAGGTAGAAGAAGAGAGTGCTACGGAGCGAGTGCAGAAAAACAGAACAAAAAAAAAATCATAAAACGCAAACGCAGCACAGGATAACACCTGGAAAAGCTAACTAATACTACAAACAGGCCCAGGAGGATCCTGAAATCACCGGTAATTAAGTGACACCCCAGCCATCCAAAGAGGGAGAGAAAAAAAAAGCTCAAAAGCAGCCACACAACAACAACAACAACAACAACAGGAGCGAAGGAGCAAAGAGAGAGAGAGCAAAGAAAGTAAGTGGAATTCCTTGCCCAAAGATGGCTCTCTCGCGCTAGCTACATACTACATACATCCCTCCCCTGTCTGTCTGTCGCCTCTATCGCCTGTGCAAATTAGACAGAGAAGCGCTCCATTTCCAGGTGTAATCTTTACGGGCTGGCAGAAGATTCGGTTTTTTTTTTTTGTGGGGGGGCCAACCTACGCAGATTCCAATCCAAATGAATACCAATGGATTTTAAATTGAGTCGCCTCCGGCAAAGTTAATCCCAAGTCCCCCCCTTGAAAGTTTCCCTGGCTCCGCCCCTGCCAAAAGCCAATGGCCACGCTCTCTTGCAAGTCATAAAAGTTGTCAGTTCGCTTCGCTGCTCCTTCGTCTTCGCCACCTTCTTGCCATTTTTTCTTTATTTTTTTTTTTTTTTCACTTTAGCATTTCATTTTGAGCTCTCCTTCGGCGTGCTCCACCTTGTGTTGGCATTGTTTTCTGCTGATTTTTCCAACCGGCTTTTGGCTGGCTAATTGCCTTGACATTGGCATCCAATGCTCTTCGTTCGGCGTGGCTCCATTCCTCGGGAATGGCCTCCTCCCGCCGCCTGCCGCCTATCCACCTCCCACAGCCAGCCACTGTTGCCGCTCTCTTTTTGGACCATCTCTCTTTTTTTTTTTCTTTCACCTCTTCTCTCTGACTCGTTTCAATCATTCAAGTTCAACCATAAACAGACATAAACACGCAGTCATGGTGCCCCCAAGGGGGCGGGGGGAGGCCCATCGCCTTAGTTTCTAACTGTTTTCCAGCTCTCTTCGGGCATGGTTCTCTTTTCTCCGGCTGGCTGGATGGCTAGTTAGTTGCTTGTTTTTGTTTATGTGTTCTCACCCCTCCTTTGTGGCTCCTTTCTTTGTTCCCGGCTCGAAAACGCATCCAATTCGCATTCGCATCCGTGTGTGTATGTATCCTTCCGGCGTTTCGTCCTTCCCTCCCAAAAATTCAACGGATGCGCGCAGCAGCAGCAGCAGCAGCAGCAGCGCACTGTGGTTGCCAAAATCTCTGAGGTAGTCAAAAAATAAATCTATTATTTTTCTGCTAGAATATGAGGGTTTTTCTTAATATTTTTGTATATTAGTATTGGATTTCGTGTGGGAAGTGAATTGGAAAATTGCACTTTAACACCCATGGTGGACGGATATTCCTTTTGTGTTACCTCCCCCGCCCTCCCGCTTCGGGTGTATGTTGTTCGTTTCTGCTTCATTTCGTTGGCGGCGCACTCCCCTTTTTTGGAATCCTTTGTATCCTGCCCTGCCCTACGGCCAAAATGGTAAATCAATAATTTTCAATGAGCATTTTTGCATTTTAGGCTAGCCAGTCAGCCATCCAACCAGGCAGCCGGTTTTTAGTATTGGACTGGAGAGTACCCGGGGATCAATTAGTATGCCAGGAGCATTGAGAGTCGAGACTGCCATAAATTAAAAAAAAAACAAAGAACCCCTGCCAGCCTGAGTCACGTTTTGTTTTTGTGATTTGGCTGCGCTAATGGCAACGTCTCCCATATCATAGCCACCGTCCTCCTCCTCCTCCTTGTCCTCCTTCCACTCCCACTCTTTAATTTTGTCGCATGGCAATCGAATGCTTCCGTTGCGCCGCCGGAAATCAGGTACGCTGGCCCCCACCCCCCAAGCCCCAGCCATCCCTGCTGTGGCTCAAGACAAAGTACATAAACGTAAACAGAAGGCAGAGGGTTGGGGAGGGGGGGACAGCTCAGGGCAGTTGTCTAGAAGCAGTTCCTACAATGGAAAACTATAGGTAGGTCCTATTTGTGTGCCCTCTGCTGTTATGTATTCCGCAGCGTGTGCCCTATGTGCTGAGTCTGTGGATATTTCGGCACATGCCGGTCATACACACCCCCGTACTTGCCGTACTTGTATCTGGTATCTTGCAGTTTGTATCTCGTGGATGTGGATGTATCTTCATCCCGCCCCCGTCTGTATCCGTCATCAATTGCAGCTGTCGCCCGTCCTTGAACGCACTTCACGCACTCCGAGGGATGGGGGATGGGGGGCGGGGCACTCTGGGGTTGAACGGAATGCCAGTCAGTGGATGAGCTATTTTCGTACGAATGTCTGGAGAGGGGTCTGGAGTGTGTCTTGCATTTCTTTGTTCGACTTTCCATTTAATTTTATTGCTTTTTTGATTAACTTCCAAAGTATCTATGTATCTATGCAGCTATGTATCTATGTATCTATATGGCTTCAGTTCGCGATGGATTTCTTTTTATTAATCAGAAGTATATTGTCTTGATTTTGTTGACTTACTTGACTTATAATCCTGGTAATGAACATAATCCCTTCGGGGCTTCGGGGTTTCGGGGCTTGGGAGCTTCAGAGGCTCTTTGTTGGTGGCGACACCCCTTAAAGTTTTCTGTATTCTCGTATCTGTTGCTGAGTCATGTCGTCATCGGTTTCGGTTTTTTTTGTTCCAGGCCTCTTTTTTCGAGTTACTCCTTTTTTTCTCGCCATTCTCGACGACTGGTTTCCCTTTCAACGGCACGCCCTGACTGGCCCCCCCTCCTGCCTGTGATTCATGGCTGGCTCCTTTCCGGCCAACTCCGAGTTACACTTATGGGTCATATATCAATGGCCCGGGTTGACTCGGTGGCATTATCAATGCAAATGCGGCATGGCCGGCATGGCCAGGGTGTGGCGGGCTTCTGGAGGCGCCCATCTGTCGTCGCCCCACCACTTGCCTCCTTGTTCAGCTCACAATACAAATAATTGATATGCTCGCCGGGTGCTGCTGGGATCTGCTGCGGGTTCAGTGACCCATCTTGGAAGATCTTGCAACTTCCGTTCCGATAAAGCCCGAAATGCATAAATATCGAAACCACATTTCCTCGTTCGATAGCCAGCCCCCCAACACCAGATGATAACCCATCCCAAGAGGAAGCCCTCATCATCCAGGCCTCTAACCTTTGAGATTCCACGAGATTG